TAAGGGCTCTAAAGGACTTTGAAATAAAACGTTCTTCTGTGATTCTGGTCCATTTTAAACCCGCGAACCTCATCAGCTGATTCTAACATCGATCTTGCGGCGTTCTCACGGACCGCTAACTATCTGTTTCAAAATTATCTCTTTGAAGCCTTTGTCTTTCTGCTTCACTGATTGGTCCTTTCAGTAGCCTGTATTATCCATTGTCACTTCGACCTTATCACTCGAGCAATGTCATTGCAGACTCATGCTGATTGACGTTAGTAGTCTTATCCCCTCGTCTGTATTCTTATTATTTTCTTCTTATTCAACATTTGCACGTTTCCCTGCTGCTTTACGTAGACTACGGTGTTTTATGAGCTCTCAAAAATATAATCCATGGTTCATATCCATAGGTTAACATTGAGAACACTGATACAAACCTGCCTGTTCGTTTCACGCGTCAGAGCAATTTCACAAATATGAACCTTTTTAATGCTCCAGAAGGTCCATGGCATTTAACTCTTCTGTTGAGTTCACGGAATATTTCTCCGTTGTGGAAATAACTTGTCTCATATTGTCGAGGTTTTGTGCTTCTTCACACCTATGCATACAAACTTCAGCAGATGGAAAGGCCATGCTTTTATCGAAGTTGACCTCCATCGTCATGAAGTTCATGTGTTCAGTACTGGTCGATGGCATTGGCGTTCATCTCTTGGATTCTTCTATGAAAAATCAGAACTCTGGTGATTTTTCTAGGATCATAATATCGTTCACAAATCACAGATTTCCACTTATCTTCAGTTTTCCCTTTTTTCTTTTATAAGTTTTCTGGAACTATTCGAAGTAACTGCGATAATATTCGATCACCCTGTAGAACACCCCTTTGGATTTTGAACTAGCTTGTGCCTTCATGAAGCTTCATGATATCAGTTGCATTCTTGTAAATAATTGCGATCAGGATATGTATTAAATACATGAATGATGGCTATGCATCAGGTTATCTTTTTCGTATCATCCTTGACTCCTCGCCTCCTCAAGGAATTCAGTACAGCACGGATGCACATTTAGTCGAAAGTTTTCTCGAAACTGTCCAAAGGAGAGCGGAAGAAGATATTCGTTACTTGCCTGAAAGTACGTAATGAAATCCACACCCTGGAAGCCTATTGCTTAGGATCTAGTCTCTCTGTTCAATATTGTCAACAAACGAATCCCATGAGCAACAAGAGACAAAGCATGACGTTACTGCATAAGCGTGACGGATAATGCAAATGAAAGAAGAAGGTGAAGTGCACTGATCGGCAAAGTTTGTAAGAAATAAGCAATGTATTTTTGAAAACCACCGTACTCTGACTTACAAAGTACTTTAAGCTACACAATGTAAACAGCTGGTCTGTTGGATATGCTTTCTGGAAATTCAATCTTAGCGTTCACGCTGCGAAGGGCAGACAATAGTCCTGTACGCCCGTCAGAAACCGAGTGAAATATATTTCTCTTCCAGCCCTCGTTAAATTCATTGACCTCGAGGAAATGGTCAGTCAGATAATTTACTTCTGTAAAAGTCAGCATCTGATTAATTCGATTGATTAGAAATTAATTTATTAATTTCTTTTATGACCTCACTGGGCCAAAGTTGATGACTCACACAGGTCATTAAACCGGGTCGGACTACTGCAAAATCTCACCACTTTCTCGTTTCTGCAGAGAGGAGAGGATGAATTCAGCAACCTAAAGTTCAGTGGTATTTGAGCATCTGCGGCATTCGAGACAACGCACAGCAGCATCGTGTTGGCAAGAGCAACATGTTTTTGCGTCGCATCATCGGAGGCTTTATAATTCGAGCACCGTACATGCGAGTGACACCGACAAAAATGGTTTTCAGTGGGATTAAATTTGTGCCATATTGTTATCGTGTTATTAAAGGGAAACGAATCAGATGTCGATTGGCCAAAGGTTAATTGGTTAATGTCATTTTTGTGCTCCTTGGTGCTTCAACGTAAAAGGAGATTTAAAAATGAAATTAAAAAATTATAAATCTAGCATTATATTACTATGTTGCATCTGACGTAGCCAAATGAACGAATGCTCTGCTTAGACTTTCGACTGCCAAATGTTTCCTAGTGTTTTCTGTTCGTCGATAGATACAAACAGTGAATCGCAAATACAATGAAATTGCAGTCGTAGTCAGCAGAAGGTGGACTCCACAGTCCAAACATATATTCTCGTAGAATGCGAATGGTAAACAAAACAGGGATTGCATCGGATGGTAAAATACGACGCACTATAGTGCAAAGTCCTTATGGTAACTTTGAAGATCTGTCGTGAACCCTGAAACTAATAGTCAGAGGTTCTGATAGTCGGACTGATGGCCTTTCTTATACTTCTTAACCGGTTTTGTCTAGGAGAGGGGCACCTCAATTATATATCCTCACAGAACGAATGCGGAAAACAGTTCGTATTCCTCCAAGAAGAAAGCTTGAGGGGGATTTTTCATCGGACAGTCTATCCTTTTGATGAAAAACGATGACTCAGATATGCGACGAACATAATAATCTGGATGATATTTGAAGGCCGGTTCAAGAAATCGAAAAAACAATACGCCTCATGCTTCTTTCATAATAAAGACTTGAAAGATCTGACGCAACTGCGTTTTACATGCATATCATCATCTTTCCAGGTTGAGAAAGATGTTTCTGTTGTTGTCATTGCATGCTAATGCAAAATGCTAAATACTATTATACTTTAAAAACCCAATGTCTAATGCGGTTTGATAACTACTCTAACAGATACTCTGTAGTAAGCACTGTAGCATGTATTCTGACGCCATCTTTACCAACAAGTAGAAAAGGAAAACATAATGTTTGGTTTTTCACCCAGAGAATCTTGTCACTGTGTAAATTGGCTTGAAAATCACTGACACATCTGTCTTCTTCAGAGAATGTCTCACAAGGCAGCCTGTTTGAGGTTTTCGGCAGGTATTTCTTTATACTCAGCACCGTATATATGACTCAACCATGAAAAGTTATCAATCCGAGAGCCGCTGATGTTCATTTTCTATTTAACCTCATATGACGATCATGTCGCATTAGAACAATGCGATATCATACAGAAACACAATTGACGAACTTGCCACTATGAGTCTCAGATGATTAACTTCTTCGCGTATGCAACACCCGTCGATCTTTGGTGCACTGTTCTGCTGAATAGGCAGTGGAAATGACTCTACCTGATTATAACAATGTACTGACACTTATTCAAGTTCGTAGGGCATGGTCGTATCATTTCTTTGCTTCCAGTAGCCTATTATTCTACTTAAACAGGTCACAGTTTCATGGCATTACGGCACCTGCAGTGCCTGAGCGCAAAGCCGCGCCTCCTTCGTTGCCGTACAACTGATAATAGTTTATCACACAATTAAGAATATGTATAATTATGAATGAGAAACAATGATTTGCGGAAGGCACTGGGTAAGAGGAATACCTTGAACCTCAGAGATGCCGGCTTTAAATTTTACACACCAAAAAACAGTTTCTCTAAATAATTGGTAATTCCGTTGAGCAAAGAATTTGCCACCTCGTGCTCTGGTGCAGTCAACCGAGAAACGGCTAGAAAATCGTTGACTTCGGAATGAAAGATACAGCATAATGTTCCGGTGTTGTCACATCAGGGTGCAACTGACGTACGGCCCTGCTCTCTAGTGCAAAGACTCTACGGCGGCGATTTGCGCGCTGCCCGACTCGATAGCTGAGTACATCGTGTGAAAATTGGCACAGGACGTCAAGCCAATTAATTAATGAATTAATTTATTGTACAGCGTGATCCTTGAAGATGCGATACAAACGACTCACTGATGGAGAGTAGTAGTTCGCCGCGCAACTTCCGTGCAGACCCATGCAAACCGTATTCGCGGACTTTTAATAAACCTAACAACTTCCGAGTTAACTTGGTACGTTGTGTCTTCCTGCAAGGCATAAAGGGAAGGAAGGCAAGTAAGAAGAAGCATCATATAACCGAATGGCATGTACACAAAGTTGGTTAAGGGAATTCAAGACAATCTTTCGCACAACGACGACAGCGCCAATCACTCAGGTTCGACGTTACTCTGCTGTACTCGAGCAAATATTTTGCTTGAGCGACAGCCTAGAGTTTGCGTGCTGGAATGCCCAGTTTCTACCTTAATCAGTTATGTTGCGATACATCCATCCACTTATCTCTGATGCTCGAATGACATGGTCCCCTATTTGTTAAGGGGTGCAGCAACATCGCAGGTTCAACTCGATGTAATGTCAAATTGTCGTTCACCATGGCAGTATTGGTATAAACTAACGATAGTTGATCTATACCAGTATGTCGACGAAGCATGCTATAATTCGGTGGTTTCAAGACAAAGTAATCAAGCTGCAGAACTTTGATGAAGGCAATATTTTGAATAGTTACGATATTGACCACCACTGATGTTAATAAACTGCGTTCACTCACCTCATACTTCCGGTCATGGAATTATAAGTTTCCAATTAGCCAACACACCGAGTCGAATCGACATGAATGTATGACGGCCAGACGATAAGTGTGCGTTTCGATTGATAACTGTTTCGTGATGTTCGAAATGTCGATCGTCTTCGGCGACAACAGTAGACGGCATGCAGTTCGGCTTGCAGCCTTCGGTACGGCGGTAAGAATTAATCTACCACAGGCCACCACCGCCAATCGAACGGAACAAACGTGAAGTCCCTGTTGCAGAGAGTACGTTCCTCATCCGATTATCGACAGCATCGATTAGGCGAGTTGAAAAAGCGATACACGTCGGTCGTCGTCTTCGTGCTTCATAGACATCAGACGAACGTATCCGTCCGTTCACCACCCGTCTTCAATTCGAGTTTGACAAAGTTGGCAGTCAAGTCATCGTCGAGCGCAACTTTACTGGCTGCCTTACTGCTCATTCGCTCATTTACCTCAGTTCAGTAATCCCTGGCAAACGAAGGATCATCGTGTCCAGCTTCTTCAGTTATCAAAAGGCGCCATCATTAGGTTGATCGGCTAATGCTAAGCCTTTTGGCGGCACCTGAGCATCTGTCAGCGGACGGGTAAACGACCGCCTTAAGCATGATCACCTGTTCGAGGCTGAGCGCTTGAACTCGCTCAAAAACGTCACCATCCTGAAATCTGAACAAAGCACTGAAATAGCTCATACTATATAACAGGTCCTGGCGATCGCACCGTCAAGAAAATTTGCGACTCTTACTCGAACAAACTGCTCATGAAGCATAACCATAAAGATGGACCCTTTTGATTTCACGCTCTATGCCAATTCTTCTTGCAGCGATTTCTGCTGCGATAACTTAGGGGTTAATCGAAAAACCATTTTTGCAAATCAGCCAAAGCGATTGTTAGACCTGATGCATTCAGTGAGGAAGATGAATTTTTCGCTATTTCCTACTGGTTTCCACCTGTTCGATCGGCGTCAAGCATGTCATTGAAACGAAGGTCTGTACGAAAACCATTACGTCCAGAAATCCGGCAGTGGCTGATTAGAGAAGAACACTGACAAGGTAACAGAATCATTATATATGACAGGTGATGGAAAAGTATTCTTCCTGCTGATTATGGACTTAAAACAGTAGAACCAAAAGTTCACCGCCTGCTTGTTGCATTCCATCAGATTCGAAGATGAACAGAATTTGCGTGATGTATGGTTAGTAGGCCACCCCCTTC